CCCCCCCCAACATACACACCCCCCAGATGTCTGTTTATTTTCTTCCCCGGCCTGTGTTTCATCAGCCTTTGGGGGAAGGCTGAGGAGTGGTGGGGAGGGTGTGGGCATGCCTGGGTTCTGGGGAGGGGAGGCCCATTATGGGGGAGCAGAGGGCTGGGGAGCTTAGGAGCTCCTGATGTGGGAGCCTGTCTGGGGCTGGAGGGGGATAGGGGCAGTGGGGGCCAGGCCGTCTCCTGGCAGGGCTGGGACATTTCTGAGCCATGAGCACAGCCTGCAGGCGTCCAACTGCTGTCTGCCCCAGCTCAAGCCAGGGCCCCTCTCCAGCCCCCCTTGCTCTGGCCCCTCAGGCCCCCTCCTTTCCCCTCCCACAGTGTTCCCCGGGGATCTGTCTGGCTCCTGCACTGAGCGCACTGAGCGAGGGGCCTCTCTTGTTCTCTTCACCTCACCCCACCTCCCTTCCTTCTCCCAAACCTTTTACCTCACCCCCATCCCACCTCAGCCTCCCCACTAAGACCCCTCTTAAGTAGTGTCTCATTTTCTCAGCCCTGAAAGCCTGCCTCTTGCCTCCTCACCCCCATTGAGCCCGGGTGTCCTCCTGTCCGCCTCCCAAGTATTCCTGGGGCCCACCTGCTCCTTTCTCCATTTAGGTTCCAGGCCTCCTTCGAGCCCTCCCAGGTGCTCGTCACCCCCAGCCTCTTCATGGATGCCCCTGCTTCCGTTCCCTCCCCTTCCTTCCATCCTCTGCGCAGGCTGCCAGCACAATCTTTCTGGAGGGCTGCTTTGTCATCACCTGCTTAAAGCCTCTGGTGGTTCCCTATCGCCTCAGGGCTGAGACTGTTGCTCACCTTGGACTCGAGAGGAATTTTAAGTCCGGCTTAGGCTTACCTTAAGGACCTCATCCCCTGACTGCCTGTGACTCCTCAAGTACAATCTGGCCACACCAGATTTCTCGCCGTGGAGCTCCCCCCTCCCCCGCCTTTGCCCACTCAGTTGTTCCCTGAGGGGCCCACCCGGTAGAGTCTTGTCTACAAGGCACTGGGTGCAAACGGGCCAGGTCAGTGTCATTCCTGCACGCTTTGCACGCATCACAGACTGGCATGTGTGTTCGGTCACAGATCAAATATCTTTTGAGCACCCACTTTGTGCTGGCTGTTGGGGACACAGTTTCTGCCCTTAAGGAGTGGCAAACACCGGCATTAGCTCATTGCAGATGTTAACGTGGTTATACAGGAGCCTCTGTGGAATGGATGAACAAATGAGGTATCCAGAGGCACAGAGTAAGAAAGGGCTCTGGCCCAGGTCCCCTCTCCTAAGTCAGTAAGCCCCTTGGATGAGCCCAGGTGGCTTCCTTGACTTCGGCTCTGTAGTTGCTGGTAAGCCTCGTCTCTCCCCCTAGTTGTGTCGTGCCCTGGAGCCAGGTTGCCAGCTTTCAGATCCCGGCTGTGCCACCTGTTAGCTGGGAGACCTTGGACAAGTGCTCTCTGCTTCAGTTTCCCCCTTTGTAAAATGAGGATAGTAATAGTATCTCCTTCCCAGGGCTGTGCTAAGACGTAATCTAGAACAAGTGCCTATATACCATATGCCACAATACCCACGACGCGTGACTCTACCTACAATCGGTAAGTAAGAAATTTTAGTTATCGTCGTTAACGTCACGATTGTGATCTCAGGTGAACGGTGTGCCTTCCATGTGATTCTTCTCCTTGCCTGTGGAAGAGATAGTTGCCTGCCTCTCCGCATCCTCCATCGTTCCCTCAGTCCTTTGTAAAGGCAGGGAGCTACTCCGTCTTCCTGCCGTTTGCCCTGTTGCCGGGCACGATGGCTGGAGCTCCAGCCACCTCTTTGGCCAGTGAGGATGAGGCCCCGTCAAGAGATGGCAGAAGGTGGGTGTGTCTGGCTGGCTCATTCGGTAGAGCATCCAACTCTTGACCTCGGGGTTGTGAGTTTGAGCTCCACGTTGGGTGTAGAGAGCACTCAAAAAAGAAAAAAGAAAGAGAGAGATGGTGGAGCATGATCAGGGAGGAGCTGGGTCCCTCAGGACTTCGTGGAGTGGGTCCAAGGCCAAGCTCTGGACTGCCCTTCCCTAAGCCTCATTTACGTGCAAGAGAAAGAAATTTTTATCTAGCTTAAGCCTCCGTTGTTTTTCTCCTGTTACACACAGCTGAATCTAATCCTAATACATCTCTCCTTTCAGCAAATGCCAGCTAATTTTAGCACAGGCTACAAATAGGAAAATCATGAAAAATCAGTCATCAAAACAAATAATAAAATATGTAGTAGAATACAACTAATAAAAAAAAATGTAGGCAGAAAAAATTAAGCAGGGAGGCATCAGTCATATTTTGCCCTTTTTTTTTTTTTTTTTTTTTTTTT